CGGCGGACGATTCGCCGCGACGCTTGCGACTGGCATTTTCGAGGGGCGCGGTTTCTAGGCCATGCCCGACGGGGCGTTGATCGCCGAGTTTCGCCCTTTGTGGTCCGAGGCCCATCAGGCATTCGGGTTGATTGTCGGTGGGATTGGAATGTCCCGCGCACCGATGCGCGATCGCTGGCTGCACGGAGTTGCCCTCGTTCCCAGGGCCGAGCCCGCGTGCGTCGAGAGGATCAAATGCCGCGAACAGCTCGCGAAGACCGATGACGGTGAACGCGACTGGCTCTCCACAACGGAGCTAAATAACAGTCTGGTACTTCCTCCACCGTGGAGCGGCGACGGCTTCCTGATCTGCAGTTACGGGCGCCGCAAATTGCGGGGCATCGCCAGCTGCTTCCATTGCCGTCTCGAAGTCGCCCGCGGCGCCGAGACTGCCCCGCCGCGCGGCGCCGCGCCGCGCCAAGACTGGCGGGATCTCGGCCCGAAGAAGGCCCCCCATGGAAAGTCGGCCCCTGGGTCCAGCAACAGCTGCGTCGCTGGCTTCGGGCGGATCGCGCCGCGGCAGAGCCGAGTTGGACGGATAACGGGCGCAAGCGTCAACAAAACGACAGAAGTGGCGGCGGGGCAACCTGGGAGGCGCGTCCGCCAGGCGTAAGCTAGCGCTGGGGGGTAAGACCGCTTTCTGGACGAACGCCATGCCCACCTCGCCTGGCTTCGAAGTCTGTCGACGACCCACGCCGTCTGCAGCGTGGCCCGCCCAAGCTCGCCCCGGCGAGGAAGCTTGCGCAGCGGTGGATCAAGTGCCGGGCCTACCTCGGCGCGCAGGCCACGGGAAAGGAGTCCGCGGTGCCGATGGAGGCGCGGCGGCCTTCCGTTAGTCGCAGGATCAAGATCGACGGCGACCAGTGCGACTATTCCGTTTGGGAGGCCTTCTCGCTGGACCTCGAGCGATACGCGGACCGCGAAAAGGACGCGCCACCCGTTGAATGGGAAGAGTGGGTCAGCGATCGAGACGTAGCCGCCGTTCTTCCACTGGGCCACCTCGATCAGCCCATGCGCGAGGAGATCGACATGCACTGGCAGACTGAGGAGAGGCCGCCTGTCGCGGTTGACAGATGTGTATCAGACCCGCGGTCCTCAGGGTATCTGCCAACTGTCTCGGCGGTGCCCGGGGCGCTCGGTTCCGCTCGCGCGACCCGGGGCCGCGCCCCCTATGCCGCGAGCGATCGAGTCGCCCCGACCTAGTTGTGAGACGGTCTGGGGAGGGGCAGACTTTCATCGGACAGGATCACACCATGATTCAGGCTGCGCCGAAGTTCCTCCGCCTGCGCGTTCAATTTCGGCCCGGACTTCGCTGGAGGCGCCATCCATGGTGAACCAGCCGCGGGTGGAGCCGCGACTCCACGCAGAGTGCGACCCGACATCCGTGCTTCGCGGTTCGTGGTGGACGACGCAGTCATATCGTGCGGCGATCGAAAAGGCGAAGGATGCACGTGACCGCTCAGCGTTGGAGATCAGGGCGACGACAGTTCCGTCTGGGTCAAGCGCGTGGGCGCCGTGAAGGACCAGCTGAAGATTGTGCGAGCACGCAAGGAGACCTTCGTCAGGATTCACGATTGCGTCGTGGAAATGGCGGACGACATGAACAAGTTTTTGCTGGCGACCATCCTGAAGATCGAGGACCGTCTCCAATATCTTCAGTAGCGCGATGGAGGACGCCTCGCCGGCACCATTGCGTACTTCCTGACTCCTGAACCTTCTGCCCTTCGGCGGATGGTGGTTTAGAGTTTCGATGAGTACATCGTGGACGCTGCTTTGATCGCGCCCGAGATGTGGTCCAAGTCAGCTGTGCCTCAGCCAAACCCGTTGGGTCCGAGTCACACCTCGCGCGGACCACAAGGGTCTCGGGATTTTGTTCCGGGCGCTGGGTCGGAGCCCGGCAAGCAGCGCGGCCGCGCGGGCGGCGAGCGCCTCAGGTCCAGTCAGCACACGGCTCGCCCACGTTCTGCGCGGATGACTTCGAAAGGAAAGGGCAGCCCCGTGGAGTCCGGGTGCGGGACCTCCCCCGCGGCCGCTGGCAATGGCGGGGGGTGGGGCCCGCAGATAATAGGCGCGGCAGCCAGGGGCCCCGCGATCGCCCACCGCCGGTGCGACGTCGAGACCATCGGCCGACGCTGTGGGAGCTGCATGACCGTGCTCAGGTTCGTCCTCGGCGGCCCCTGCCGCCGCCCCGCAACCTCAGCAGAATTCGGCAAAGGACATGAGACAGACAACCGCTGATGAGGAGCCCCGTCGGAGCCAGGAGGAGGACGCGCCGTGGTCGTCAAGGAGCAGCTCGTGGTGGGGCTCTTGGCCGCTGGTCAAACTGGCGCGGCTGGGGCAGCCGCTGGAGCTGGGACGATCGCTGGCGCGACGCCTGGCGTTGAGGGTGGGTGATTTGTCACTGTGTGATGGGCGTCCTGGAAATGAGCGAGGACGACTCGTCACTATGTCGCGTTGTCGGTGATCCATGGCTGGCCGGAGCAGTTGTTTTCTGCGCTCAGCAAAAGACGCGAAACGTCGCGCCAGCGGAGCCGACCGCGATGGCCTTGGCAACTTCCATTGGGCCGCACCGAAGGGCCTTCGGCTCAGTCCGCTCTCCCTGCACTAGCGCGCCCGCGGCAGTGCCTCCTGTTGCCGCGGCGCGCCATGGCGCAGCGGGGCCCCATGGCCTTGGCGGAGAACGACGTTTTGATGCCGAGACCCGTGTTGAAGACACACACGGCATAGAAACGTTCATGAAGGCCGCGCCATGTGGGGCAGAACCACTTTTCGCCCCCCGCCGCTTCCTCCTCACCCTCGCCCTCCTCTGCCACTCCGTTGGCGGGGGCCGTTTGGCCGGGCTCGCTCTCGTAGCGTTTCGGGTGGTCTTGCCAGGGCCCTCCTTCGAAGTTGCGACGCCCAGCCCGTGCTCGTTCGCCGTCCGGCGCGCCGGCTCCCCAGCGGGGTCCGCGCGGAGCTCTGGCTCGCTCGACCACCGGAGCACCGTGCGCAGGCGGCGTTTACGCACGTTGCCCCGGCCGCTCCCCTCTGGAATTTCATCAGCAGCCAGCAGCAGCTCGCAAAGAGGACACGTGGGCGCTGCGTCAGCGCAGGCCAGCGCAAGGCTCCCATGGCGCACGCGCCCCCTCCGTCGCCCGCCATAGGGCAGAAAGAGTCCTGGGGGTTGGGCCTCGGAGTCTTTTCTGCATTTTCGGGCGCCCCGGGGCCGTCCCTGGGCCACCGGACCGTCAATCAACGTGACGAAAGGATGATCCGTCGTCCAGCACACGTTTCCCTCAGGACCCGTTTCCTTCATGTCGGGATCGATTTCCCCCAATCGTCTTCGCGAGTCCCACCCATACCGCCCGTGCCTCCCTGCCGTCTCCTGTTCTTTTCAGGCCTAAATGCGGCTTCCGACTTCTCGCGCTCCCAGTATGAATCGACCGTATCTTTTTCTTGTTGTGTATTAAGGCTCTACTTCTCCTGTGTGGTTCGCAGATAAGATAAGCGGCTGGATGGGCGGTATGGGGATTTCTGTACACCGCTCGTGTCCCCTCTCGCACGTGCTCCTCGTCCCTCCTCGTCTCTGCAAGCCATTGTGGTTTATATGAGTTGCCGACCGGGTCATATGCGGATCCACACTCACAACGTTTAGCATGAATTCCATATTTCTGCTTGTCCGTGTTGACACGTTCTTGGCTGCACATTTCGAGTGGAGACCCGGAGACCCGAGGGGAATCAGGCTTATTTCGTGTTGTCGCGATGTGGGACATCATGCTGCTGTGTTTGTTTATGTGTTTGTTATGCTGCGTGTGTTGCTTCTCCTGATTTCCCTCCACCCTCTTCTCCCTCCTTTCCTCCTCCCAGGAACCACCGCCGACACCGCCACTGAGAGATTTAGCTCCCAGCCAGGTCCGCATGACAACATGTTGTTTTAAAGCTTTGGGAAAGTTGAGGGCATCCACATTCCCTCTACCATGCGCAAGCCATCATCGACGAACCCTTGCCAGCTTTGGTCGGGTCCATGTCGACAGAACTAGCCGTGTAGACTTTTATTCCCAACCATCCTGTGGTGTTAGGTCCTCGTTGTGAAGAGACGGTCCCCGCGTCCCTCCTCCTCTCCTCCTCCTCCCCCTCCCTCCTCCCCCTCCTCCCTCCTCCCTGCGTTCCACCCAGTACGGCGTTTCGTGGCCCCATAGGGGGGCTCCACCGAAGGTCCCAGTGGCACCGCCCGCGTGCGTCCGCCACCACCCAGCACAACCCTTGCCCCCTGCATTTCACCCACCCAGTACAGCGCTTCGTGGCCCCATAGGGAGCCCCACCGGAGGTCCCAGTGGCACCGCCCGCATGCGTCCGCCACCACCCATCACAGCCCTTGCTCCCTGCGTTTCACCGAAGGTCCCAGTGGCACCGCCCGCATGCGTCCGCCACCACCCAGCACAGCCCTTGCTCCCTGCGTTTCACCCACCCAGTACAGCGTTGTGTGGCCCCATAAGGGGACTCCACCGAAGGTCCCAGTGGCACCGCCCGCATGCGTCCGCCACCACCCATCACGGCCCTTGCTCCCTGCGTTTCACCCACCCAGGGCAGCGTTCCGTGGCCCCATAGGGAGCTCCACCGAAGGGCCCAGTGGCGCCGCCCGCGTGCGTCCGCCACCACCCAGCACAGCCCTTGCTCGCTGCGCTTCATCCACCCAGTACAGCGTTTCGTGGCCCCATAGGGGGCTCTACCGAAGGTTCCAGTGGCACCGCCCGCACGCGTCCGCCACCACCCAGCACGATTGCGGTATTCACAACTGCATATGGTTGGGTCTTTCGCCAGGCTAATTTGTTGTGTTTCTTCTTTTCTTTTCCTGCACTTGCTCCTCATCCTGCATATCCAGTATCCATATTGGCTGAAGCTGTGTGGATGACGTGTTCGTCAGTGTCACTTGTGCACACCGCTACCTTTAATCGAATCCTTTGTCGAAGGCGTTCCATGCCATGAAGGGCATCGTGGCTGTTCTCTGGCTGGCCGTCAAGCGGGGGCTGTCCTTGAATGTGGGTGGTGCAACCGAAGGTGGCATCCACTTCAATGCTGGCCCAGAGAACTCAGTAACGAATGACGTCTCTGACGATGCCGACTTAAAGGGATGGATTGCTCCAGAAAGTATGGCTACTATCGACAGGGAGGCGGCCGATAGACAGATGGCCCGGTCGGAAAGCTTAGAAGTGATCGACGAGCTCGTCAACTCTCAGAGGTATGCAGCGTACCCGATGGAGATCAGTGCAATCTGCATCCGCTTCGGCTTGAATGCTCAAAGTTGCGCACGCGTTGAAGCATATTTAGGGCGCCTCGCTCATAACCGTACGAAGCAGACAGTGAAGTTGCGCGGGTTCTTCTCGGGTACCATCACTGCCAAGGCTAACGTCTTTGCGATTGGCGTTCGCAGCATGTGCGAGGCTCCCGCAGACAGTGCATGCGATATCTACAGGCGAGACTTCTGCAAAGTCGTGACCGCTGCTTCTGGCAGGGCTCTCCTGGGCGACAAGGCTGCCCTTTTCAAATTTGGTGACACAAGGGATGCGCATGCTTGCTACCCCACCTTTTATAAGACTCGTCTTATGAAGCTACGGGATGATAATTACGTCCTCTTGGATTTGAATCATGATCGACACTGGGGTATGGTGGGCCAGGTACCTGGTGCTGACGTTTCATGGTCCCAGAAGAGGACACAACTCGTGTGGCGAGGGGCATCAACAGGGAGGTGCGACGCGTATTTCAATAACACTCGCATGATGCTAGTCAGGAAGTACTTTCATTCACAGGACCCCAGGATCGATGTCGGCTTCAGCGAAGCTCTTCAACACTGCGACGCAGCGCGATCTTATGTCAAGCCAGGCATGTCCATGCAGACGGTGCTTGCAGCAAAGTACGTTCTGGTTGCGCAGGGGAATGACAAAGCAAGCGGCTTGAATTGGGCATTGGCTTCTAACTCTGTACCTTTCATGGTAGAGCCGGACATTGAAAGCTGGCTCTTGGAATCATCCTTAAAGGCTTGGGAACACTACATTCCAATCGAGCCAGATTTCTCAGATCTCGGGTCGCAGGTCGAATGGGCAGTGCAGAACGATGGCGAGGCAGAGCGCATTGCCAAGGCGGGCAAAGACTACATGCAGCAGTTCAAGAACAGGAAGACCGAGACGGACATCGAGGCGGCTGTTCTCACGGCCTACCTTGACCGCATGGACGTCAGAACGTCAAAGCTGAGCGGGGTAGTGGATGGGCACCTCGAGAAAACTTGCCTGGAGACACCGTGAGTGCAGCTGTCGTGACGTTCTCGCAATCGAAAAGCGCAATCGGATGCTGGTGATCGTTGGCGGTTCGTTTGCACGCCCCCCGTTGACTCCTCATACCCCCTCTAACATGTCATTAGTACCTGGACCACGTTCCCTGTGGCTCCTCGTTGTCCTCGTACTTCTTTGTGCGTCACTTTGGTTTGAAAGGTTGAATCCGGTTGCATGTGGCCCGTGGTTCCTTTATGAGGCCCATCGCCTGTGGGGTGGCCTTGAAGACTGAATTCGGCTTCCCCGTGGCACCTCCGTGGGTTCCCTGCGGCCCGTGGCACTTCGAATGCGGGATTGCCTTCAAGAAGTGGGTCTCGTCTCCACGGCGTCTGGCTTTTGGAAGCTCGTGCCTCGAGGGGCCATCAGAGCTCAAACTCCGCTGCCCTTCTGCCCGTGGCCTCCAGTGTCGCGCCGTGGCCATTGGTGTGCGCCGAAGCCTTCCGAGGTCGACTCGGCTGCCTGCGGTCGCCCTCAGTCCCTGGCAGGTTGAAAGCGGGTTGCAGGTCGTTCGTGGCCTCGTCGCCCCTCAGCCTCGTGGGCTCGCGTGTCGGGGGGTGGCCCTCGAGAGCCTTGCGGGCGCGCCTGGCGCGCCGAATTTGCCATCGAATTGGTTGCCCGTCGCAGGCGTTCGATAGCGCTTGCGTGGTGTGCTTCATTCCAGTCATAGTTGTGGTTGTAAGATGCATCAGCGTCGAACCCGTGTTCTGTTCTGCTGGGGGATGCTCAGGCTTCCAGTAGGTATACCAGAGTATGCGTCGAGTCTGTCAAGAAGCACAGTCTTTGAAACTGAGTTCCAAAATGCATGACCGAAGCATAACGAGCCCCAAGACGTTTGTCAGGATCACCCAAACTCCTTCCTCCGAGGGTGACTCTTGGAATCCTTGGGGCGTCTGTTTTGTTTTTGAGGGCTCACCGAAGTCCAGAGCAACGCATCTTGCAGTGAGACCTGGCGTGACTTAATTCCAACCTATTCGCGATGATGGGGTTGGCGAGTTCTTGCGGGCACGCGCCTGCGTCGGCCGCTCCTCCGGATGGGGACAGACATCCTCGTGCCCTCTGCCTTCGCCCCTCCGTGCGATGTGCCGACGTCGGACAGTTACTCTCGCGCGCATGTGCGAGACGTGCACTCGGAAACGCCAGGCATCGGTTGTTGTTGGCGGCCACCTTCCCTTGGTAAGTTCCCAGCACCCACAAGTGCCAGGACAGCTGCACTCACTGTCGATCAGTGTGCGGATCGGCGGGGAGGCGTGCATTGTGTTTCGGATGTGTATTGGATGAACTGAATTAGGTCTCAGTCTGTTTCCCAGCGTCTGGTTTGCAAATGGGTCAGGGGTCTTATTTGTCTTGCGCGGTATATGATATGGGGTGCACGTTGTTTGGCTCAGGCGTTCGATCTACAGCGTCGGCTGAGCGCGCAATATTTTTGCAACTATTCCCAGTCCAAGTCGATGCTCCCCCCATTAGTTGCCACACTGGGAGTAGCTTTTCAACCCCCCTGCTCCACAGGATGCCGCCGAGTCTAGTCGTCGGGCGTTGCCAAGCAGCTTTGGGTTTCGGTGTGTGTGTGTGTGTGAGTGTGTGAGTGCGTGTGTGAGGTTATGCGACACGAAACAATACAGCAGTAACACCCCGCTACTTCCATTTGGCTCCGAGATCACAATTTTTGTTTACAGCCCCGGACGGCGGCTTTTCTCCATGAGTGCTGGCAGCAGTTGCGGCACCCCGTGTAGCATAGGCAGGGAAGGGGTATGTGGGAACGCGAGCGCGTACAGTTCAGACATGTTTTTCTTCGGATTGGTTGCTTCGGACTCGCCTAGTCCGCTTGTGGGCGTGAAGTCCCCGCTCGATACTAAGAGGAATGGAAAACGCAAGTCAGACCCAAGAGTGCAAGGACATCTGGCATTGGGCATACGTGCAAATGATCAGGATGTTTAGGTAGACTTGAATGACACTCGTGCGCCATCATAGAGCAGGCCGGGCGTCCAGGTATCCGACTGTCGTGAGCCATTGTGGAGCAACACGTGCACTACGTGTCACTGGTACGGTACGGTCGGGTAACAGTGCGTTTTTCGGTCGGGGACCATGTGCAAGCTATCTGATGCCAGTGGCAATGGACATGGTTGCAGCGTGGGAGGTAATGTCTGCCTTACAGATCTATGGCGTGCGCTGTTCAAGTCGGCCTGGGGGCTCGTCGTGGCCGTCCCGTGCCTCGCGGCAGCTGCTACAGAGGCTGGCAGGGAGCGAGCAAAGGGCAAAGTGCTCAGTTGAATACGCGGTGCACATTTGCATACTGTCCCGTGTGCGGTACAATGAATGGCGGTGTGCGCATGCTGGTAGCCTGGTTTGCGCATGGCATGTCTGCCCATTGGTAGCACCAGACCATTCACTTTGCGGATGCGCATCTGGTGTCAAGGACACCTGACATATGATGTTGAAGAGCCGGTTGATTATAGATCAAGGTTCTGCAGTGCGAGTCGGAGTCTGGTTGGTGTGCACCACTCGCAGGCTACGGTCGAGATACGCCTCTCCACCACATGATCTTCCCGCCAATACCCCTGAGTGGAAGCTAATCGGGACATCGCAAATACAGGTTCACGTAAATTAGGCACGTCCGCGCGCACTTCTGAGAGGGCTTTGCAGTCGCACCACAGCCGAAGCCTTCCACAATGGTTGTCCGGGTGCGCCGAAGAGGGGGGCCAGACAGAGTGCGGGTTGCGCACTGTGGCCCGAGACACGTGCGAGGACCACGCAATCTGGAGGATTTCATGGCCACGGCCATGACTCTTGTGAAGACGCCGAAATAAAGACCTTCTCGGGTCCATGAGGGGCTCTGGTTTTCGGGCCGTCACTTAGACTTAGGTCGGGGAGCCCATTCGTGGCCGAGGTCCGCCGTAGCCATAAGAGCCCCTTCGTTCCCTGTTCATCCTTCCGTGTGGTGGCGCGACGACTGTATCCACACACACACACACATCCCAGTTCTCCCCCCGCTTCCTGCCTGGCGGCGACCTCCTGGCTGACAGTCGCCCGCGGGCGCGCGAAGCCCAGAGAGCAAGAACAGAGCGGCGGGCCGGGAAGCAGCACAGCAGCGCCGCCATCCAGCGCGGACCCAGCGACGAGCAGCCAATTGGGCCAGTGCGGTGGCACGGTTCCACGAGGAAATTGCGCGGGCCCGCGCACACACACAGACACCAGCACACCCTTCCCACCGCCCCGCCCCACACACACGCACCCACATGCGTTCTGAACGGTAGGTCTTGTGAAGCAGGAGAACAGCCCGAGGTAACGACAACTCCTCGGTCTTCGCGTTACTGTTTCTTTTTGTTCGCATTGTGCAGGCGACGAGCCACACCGACAGCACTTTGACCCGAGCGCTTCGCTTTGGGTTTCGCCACGATTTGTCAACCGCATGTTTGCTGACGATTGCAGCTCTGCTGGCAGTGGCATTGAGTGATGGGCCGATTTTCCACCACCACTAACATAGGTAGGATAAAGAGGAGGGGGAAGGAGAACGAGGAGGAGGAGGAGGAGGAGGAGGAGGAGCAGGAGAAGCAAGAGGAGCAGGAGGAGGACTTTCCCATCCTCCCTTCTCACACGTCCTACCTATGGTAATGGTGGTAGGAAGTTCGCCCATGATTGAGTTTGTACGACAGGAACCTTTCGATATCGGTGCGGTGCTGGCGGGGAGCACGACGAGAGTGGCCACAAAAACGTGCGGGACAGGTTGACCTTGCACGTGTCCAGCATCACCTCGTCAGCCAGACGATGTATGGTTCAAACGCAGGCTCGGCAGGGGCGGGGGGCAAACGAGCAACACCGCGGAGTGTGCAGGAACAGGGGGTGGACTCTCCAGATGTTCATCCTGCGCGAGAAGCGTCATTTGAGCTACAGGCCTTGTCTGGAGTACGTAGTCCCACGGAAGATGGAAAGGAGGAGGAGGAGGAGGAGGAGGAGGAGGGGGAGGAGGAGGGGGACCAGTGAAAACCCAAGTGGCATCAACGATGTTGCAGTAGACCCTTCCTCCAAGTTCCCTAGTCATAGATCCCCATATGGATTTGTCTGCACTGTGGAAAGTGTCTCTATTGGATGACAACAGTTTGAGAATCCTCCATCGTGTCAGAAAGCAGCTCCTGGGACCTCAACGCCGCGAAAACATGTGACTGGCGCGTACGGATGATCCTCCATTTTGCCAGAGCGCCTTTCGTGGGACTCCAACACCGCGAATCAACGTGACTGTTGCGTCCTGACAGTCTTGGATTGTGCTCACCCAGAATTCCTGGGACTTCAACTGCGCGAAACCTCGACACTGTCGCGAACCTTTAAGACGAACTTGCGCGGCATCAGGGCGACAACCACATTATGGAAAGAAACCGCCTTCCGTCCTTGAGATGTGAAGCTGCTTCACACGTTCAAGACGAAGGTGCGCGGCGCCATGGCGATGGCCACATTTTGAAAGCGGCCCGCCCTCCATCTTCGAAGCTGCTGCGAACACTCAGCACGAATGTGCGCGGCGCTGGGGTGTGAGTCGCATTTTGAGAGCGGCCCGCCCTCCATCCGCGAACATGCTGCAGGGCGAGTATCCAAGTACCAAGATTGTAAGACGAATGTGCGCTGCGCGCACGCGAGGGCCATATTTTGAAGATGCCCCGCCCTGCCTCTTGAGATGTGCTGCGAACTTCAAGGTTTCATGCTCATGAGCGGTGAGGAATCTCAGGCGAAACGCCCGGCCTGCCCTACCGACAAGTCTGCGGGTGCGACAGGGAGGAGTGAATCAGAAGGACCAGGGACTAACCAGAATGGGAGGTCGATCGCGCCTCCCCCGTCGACGTGTTGTCGGCTTGTTGTGATAAGTGCCTCTAGATTGCACTGGCTACGCAGAGCGCATGCTAGCGAGCATGCTGGCGACGAAAAGGTTTAACAACCAAGCGAGCCGAATGGGATTCACAGGGAGGGCGTGGTGAGGCTGAGATTTGGGATGCGCTGTGGCGACGACAACATTAGGGGCTGGGAGAAAGATCAGCGTACCTGTCTTGCGGGTCCGTTGGTATGGGTTGGGCATAGTTGTATGTAGTGTCAGATGTTCCTGACTTGTCAGTATTATGCTATTTTCTGAGCGGCGTTTTTTCCTGTGGCCCCGTTGCTCGCAAAGGCCAGTTGCATTTGGAGCCTGTCCCCTCTCCTTGCGCCTCGTCCTCGTCTTTCCCCTTTCTTCGGGAGCGACACAGAGTATCAATGTCATGCCGCCGTTGCGAGCCCAACAGCGTCTTAGCCTGCCGCTGTTGCCCAGAAACCTCGTGTAGCCAAACATTTTTGGGCCATTCGCTGCGCGGGGAAAAATGTTTCACCCAGTATCGAGCGTGGCCGACACGATTTGCTGTCCGCTGGGTTGTTCTGGTCCGACCTCGGGGTCCGCCTCAGGGGCACGGTGAGGTTGCCATTGGTCTGCTGAGTGGGTCGGCGTCCTCCTGGTTGTATGGGGTGAACAAAAACCGTGTGATTTTTGCAACAGTAACACGCTGATGGGTTCCCACGGCGGCGTGACATTGATACACCCATGAGACATAATTATCTTGGCGAAGGGCCCAACTATATGCAGTTGGGAGTATCGCCGTTGTGGGCATCGCCTTCGTTGGATCTCTTTATGGGGCCACGAAGCGTGTGTGCCGAAATGGGGCGGCGACGCATGCGGCCGCAGCCATTGGGGCCTTCGGTGGCGCGCCGTATGGGGCCACGAAGCGTGTGAGGGGTGTGCCGGCATGGAGCGGGGCGGCCATGCGAACGTCGCCATTGGGGCCTTCGGTGGAGTTCCTTGTGGGGCAACGGAGCGTTGTATTGGGTGGGAGAGATGCATGCGAGCACCGCCGCTGGGGCCTTCGCTGGAGCTCATTATGGAGCCACGAAGCGTTGTACTGGGTGGAGGAGACGCCTGCGAACGCCGCCATTGGAGCGTTCGGTGGCGCCCCCTATGCGCCCACGAAACGCTGTGCTGCGTTTGGGACAAGCATGCGGACACCGCCGCTCGGAGGGGCTACATATATGGACACGAAACGTTGTATTTGGTTGGGGAAACGCCTGCGGACACCGCCACACGGGCCTCCGGTGGAGCTCCCTATCGTGGCACGAAGTGTTGTGTTTGGTTGTGTAAACGCATGGGAACACCGCCACAGGGGCCTTCGGTGGAGCTCCCCATGTTGCCACGAAACGCTGTACTGGGTGGGGGAAACGCGTGCGATCCATGCCACTGGGGCCTTCGGTGGGGCTCCTTGTGGGGCCACGAAGCGTTGTACTGGGGTGGGCCATCGCATGCGTACACCGCCGCTGGGGCCTTCGGTGGAGCTCCCTAAGGGGCCACGGAGCGTTGCACTGGGTGGGGGGAGCGCATGCAGGCACTGCCACTGGGGCCTTCGGAGGGCCCCCTTTTATGGGGTCACGAAGCGTTGCGCTGGGTAGGGGGAACGCATGCGAGCCATACCACTGAGGCCTTCGGTGGGGCTCCCCATGTGGCCACGAAACGCTGTACTGCGTTGGTGAAAAGCATGTGGATATCGGCACCGGGGCTTTCGGTGGAGCTCCCTATAGGAACACGAAACGCTATGCTTGGTGGGGGAAACGCATGCGGACACCGCCACAGGGGCCTTCGGTGGAGCTCCTTATAGGGACACGACGCGTTGTATTTGGTGGGGGAGCGCATGCGGGCACCGCCACTAGGGCCTTCGGTGGAGCCCCGTATGTGGCCGCGAAACGCTGTACTGGGTGGGGGAAATGCGTGCGATCCATGCCACTGGGGCCTTCGGTGGGGCTCCTTGTGGGGCCACGAAGCGTTGTACTGGGTGTGCCACAGTGGAGGGGGGCAGCATGACAACGCAGCCACTGGGGCGGTCGGTGAAGTTTCCTATGGGGCCACGAAACGTGTGCTGGGTGGACCAAAGTGGACTGGAGGCGGCACGTGAACGCAGCCACTAGGGCCTTAGGTGGAGCTCCCTGTGGGGCCACGAAACGTGCGAGCGGTGTGCCAAAGTGGAGGGGGGCCGCATGTGAGCGCAGCCATTGGCGCCTTGGTGTGGAGCTCCCTATGGGGCCACGAAGCGTGTGAGGGGTGTGCCGAAGTGAGGGGGTGACGGAAGGAGAGAGGAGGGGGAGGAGGGGGAGAGGAGAGGAGGATGCGGGGCACCGCCTTGTCAAAACGAGGACCCAACACCACAGGATGTAGGGAAAAACAACAGATTGCATGGACTCCATATTCCGCCAAAGAAAACCAAGAATTTGGATTGGACGCTGGGTGTTTTGTTGGTGCTTCGTTTTTCGTGAAATCATCGTGTATCTGGACCTGGGCTACTGTTTAAGTGCACGCCTGGAGCGACGTCGACTCTCTTAGCTTGGCAGGTTCCTACCTCTAGGCAGGGGTAGTGCTGTTGTTCCCCCACGTTTCCCACGCCCTCCCGTCTGGCGGAGCGGGAGAGGCCACGCGGCCAGGAACACCAGCAGAGCGGCGCCAGCCGCGTGAGCCATTTTCGAAGTTTCGGCGAGGTCGGTTCTAGCGACGAGAGTGATGAGTCGACGGATCAGCCCTCAACCCAAGGGGGTCATAGCGGTTCTGGAAGATTCTTGGAACATCTAGGGCGGATGAGGGAGGCTGAAAATGAGGAAGAGGAGGAGGCGGAGGAGGAGGAGGAGAGGGAAGAGCTTCTCCTCTTCCAGTCCTTATCTCTCCTTTCCCTCCTTCCCGTCTTCCTCTTTCTCTTGTTCCATCTCGTCGTCGTTCATTACTGATTGACTGAGTGTTGGCTCGGCAGTGGGGCCATTGGCTGTGACCTGGCGTCCATTCAATTTTCCTGTCCCGCGCCCAGTCCTATCATAATATGACAGCCGCTTTGGGTACTTCCAGGCGCAGCCGGCCATCCTGGGTGGACGCCGTCGCGCATCTGCTGGCAGACCCGCGGCGCCGCCCAGACTGAGGCTGAGCGCAGCAAAAAAATGGCAGCCGTTCGGGAGAAGACCCAAGACAGCTTTCCACAGTGTCCTCCTGTTCCTTATCATGATTTGTATTATCACTACTACTACGACTACTACTACTACTACTACTACTACTACAGCTACTACTACTACTACTACTACTACTACTACTGCTACTACTACTACTACTGCTACTACTACTGCTACTACTACTACTACTACTACTACTACTACTACTACTACTACTACTACTACTACTACGACTACTACTACTACTACTACTACTACTCTACTACTACTACTACGACTATACTACTAGTACTACTACTACTACTACTACTTACTACTACTACTACTACTACTACTATTGCTATTACTACTACTACTATTACTACTACTATTACCACTACTACTACTACTACTGCTACTACTACCACTACTACTACTACTACTACTACTACTACTACTACTACTACTACTACTACTACTACTACTACTACTACTACTACTACTACTACTACTACTACTACTACTACTACGACTACTACTACTACTACTACTACTACTACTACGACTACGACTACGCCTACTACTTATTACTTACTACTTACTACTACTACTACTACTACTATTACTACTACTACTACTACTACTACTACTACTTCTATTACTGCTACTACTACGACTACTACGACGACTACTACTGCTACTACTACTACTACTACTACTACTACTACTACTACTACTACTACTACTACTACTACTACTACTACTAACTACTACTACTACTACTACTACTACTACTACTACTACTACTACTACTACTACTAC